CGCACGCGTGCTTTTTTTTCTTTCTTAAAATAAAAGGTCTCCATGGACCATGGATCAGATATGAAACTGAACGGAGCAGATACTGCGCTTGATCGTGTGGGGGGGAGGATCGGATATGAAACTGATCGAAGCATATGCTACACTTTATCGTATGGGGGGAAGAGGGGGGAGGCGCATACTTAGTTAGATTGGGTTCTCTCTCTCTCTCTCTCTCGCGCGCGCGCGCGCGCGCACGCACTAGCTTTCGTGTGTGCGTGCGCGTGCCTTTTTTTTTTTTGTGAAGTCTCGATGGACCACGGATCAGACATGAAACAGATCGGAACAGATTTTGCACTTGATCGTGGGGCAGGAGGGCCACGTAGTTAGTTAGATTGCTCTCTTTCTCTCTCTCTCTCTCTCTCTCTCTCTCTCTCTCTCTCTCTCTCTCTCTCTCTCTCTCTCTCTCTCTCTCTCTCTCTCTCTCAACCCCCCCTCAAATCCTGCGCACACGCATTTAAACCATATCGATGGACCCCTCTCTCTCTCGCACGTGTTGTCCAATATTGCAACTGTCTCTCTCTCGCGCGCGCGCGCGCGTGTTTGAAAAAGAAGAATAATAGTAAACAGGCCTCGATGGACCACGGATCAGATATGAAACTGAACGGAGCAGATACTACGCTTGATCGTGTAGGGGCAGGATTCGATATGAAACTGATTGAAGCAGATACTACACTTGATCGTGTGGGGGCGAGGGGGGGGGAGGCGTGTAGTTAGGAGATTGGGTTCTCTCTCTCTCTCTCTCTCTCTCTCTCTCTCTCTCTCTCTCTCTCTCTCTCTCTCTCTCTCTCACACTCGCGCGCGCCCGCGTTTGTGTGCCTTTATCTTTTTTTTTATCTCTCTCTCTCTCTCTCTCTCTCTCTCTCTTTTGCTTGATTTCTCGCACTTTTTCCTTTTTTTTTTTTTCAAGTCTCGATGGACTACGGATCAGATATGAAACTGATGGGAGCACATGCTACACGTGATCATGGAGGCAGGTGGGTTTCTCTCTCTCTCTCTCTCTCTCTCTCTCTCTCTCTCTCTCTCTCTCTCTCTCTCTCTCCGTGTATCTCTCTCACACGCGTGTGCACGTGTTTAAAAAAGAATAATAATAGTAAACAGGCCTTGATGGACCACGGATCAGATATGAAACTGAACGGAGCAGATACTACGCTTGATCTTGTAGGGGCAGGATTCGATATGAAACTGATTGAAGCAGATACTACACTTGATCGTGTGGGGGC